CACTTGCTACCTCGCTTCTTTTTCTAGTCCACCACCTCTACCGCTGATCTACCGTTATCCACTTCCTTTCCCGATTTCTACACATCCATGTTCAACTTACTGGTCCTCCTCACTACGGCCAATCATCCAGATGGTAAGTCTGACCGCTTTTGGTCAATCGTTATGTTCAGAATCAGTAGTAGCAATTCAATGCCCCCGCCTCCAAATGTAGATTTACATTTATTCAGTGAATTTATCATAACTTGATTGCACTGTTGTGAGGCATGTCAGGTATTGTTCGATCCAGGTGTGTGACCCGGTCGAAGATATATGTATGAGTGATTTAGCAGCAAAGTCACATTAACAAAACGCGTTATGGATCCACCGGTGAAAAAAAACTGGAAAGTTGAAAGCAGGATCAAAGATAAAATGGACAATTCCGGTATTCTGACGTGGCAACGGAATTGATAAGATGCACGAACGCCACTGTTCATGGCGAACATCACTCGCCGTGGCAAACTATTTGGCGATATGCCCCAACCAACCTAATCTATGGAGATCGATCACTTACTCTAGTGGGTGACTGCGGTTACCTAAAACTCTGTGCCTAACCTCAGCATTGCTTGTCCGGTTGCCCCACTAGATTCGTGCAATGTTGCGTGGACAGCGGTGTTCAAACACCGACAGTCTATCTTTATTCCGTTTTCTCAATGGCCGTGTAGCAGAACTGGTGGAACGGCCGCAGTACACACTCGACCCTTCACGGACAGTCGGATTTCGCGACGGCGCCACAGATGTCTGTGTGCGAGCTGACACTTCATCTGTGATGCGTCCACCAAGTGAGATGTAGCTGCCCAAATAAAAAAAAACTTATCCACTTCCGGTGAGGCTAGGTGCTGGACCAGCCCAGTCTTATACAATCGCAATCATCTAAAACTCTGCACCTTAATCTCGGTCCCACTAGTTTCGTGCACTAGACAGAGGTATTGGGTTCCCATCAGCTGTTCAACATGAGAAGATAGATCTTGCAAGGTTGCAACTTCAGACCATGTCACCCGAGGCTAAAATACACCGCAGTACTATCTCTCCTCCCCCCCCGCCACTTGTTCAGTATACCCGCCAGATTTCAATTCGACCGAAAAGATTTTGGGATGCATGGATAGAAGAATAAGGGAAGAGGATGGTCAAACCCTTAAACTGTCTGAGACGCTTTGAAGAAAGAATGAGAAACAGTACCATAAGGCTGTATCGAGAATGTCATCGTTAGCATGAATTTGAAAGTTGGCAAAATTATAAATGCAAAAATTATGACAGAAGTTACTAGCTTAACCGTGCATTGTTGTTAACGGGTAGTTTTGGGGGTCGCAACTAAGTATAAAATTCCGTGGTCGACTTTATGCCTCATGGGTTGGGATTTTTTTTTCTCGGCGTGTATTTCCCATCTGATCAAGACTGCATCCCAAACAAATCGTGGCACAGCAATTTTCGAGGCTAACATTTCACTTCACGATTTGTTTATGGCCACAATACTGTCAGGTTGACTAAATCAAAGCAGGCGGTTTTCCGATTGTGGATTCACAACACGAGCTTTCGACCAGCCAAATCTGGAGCAGTAGGGCAACTGAGCGAAATACGAAAATCGCAGGCTATTCGGAGCCCGGGGTCCAAATGAGTTGATGTGAATCACACGTTCAAACTATCCATTCTAACTGAAGAACGTCATGACTAGGAGGTCCTAGAGCCAGTACGCATATCTCTATTTGGGATGTTTCGAATCAGGAGTTTTCAATTATCCCAGATAAGCTAGCTGGCTGTGATTCATCACCCCGGGAAACAAGCGTTTCGCCCTCTCACTGCAGTGCAAACAAACACCCGTCAAGGGAAGGTAGTGTGTCGATTTTACTTGGTAGATACTTTAAGACACGCACTTCGTGAAAACATTTTCTGGGTTGCGGTCTTTTTCTATTCCTGTGAATGAGTTAACTGTGAAACTTACAGAGTATCATACAACTTCCTGTGTGAAATTTGCGGAGAGGATACTCACAGATCTTGACCACCCATTGCCCGCAGAAGTGACACGTTGTCGTTCCCATTTCTCTAAACGCTCTCAATCCCGCCAACTTTCATCTCAAAATTCACCTATATCATATCTTGTATCTTTGCTCACAAACAGAGAGAGAGAAAGAGAGTAACAAGTGAATCTTGCATTATAGAACAAATATCCCCATACCGTTGAACATTTTCCCTCGTTGAATATGTTCTTTTTGACGGTTGGCGTGTATGGTTTTTTTCTTCACTGA